GGGTCTATTAAGGAAATAACAAGTTACAATTCAAGATCATAAACAACTCAGGACAGTTTTTCATCAGGACAGTTTCTTCTCAGCCATACCCATAGGCATGCTTCTCCCTGACCCTAGGCCTCTCAGCCTGTTGGCCAGGCCTTTGGCCTGCTTGGCAAGTATTACAAAATTCTTTAGCTCTGCCCATAAGTGCCTGGAGGAATCCCACTCTGCCAGCAAGCTTTCTGGCTGAAGGCACTCAGCTTTTTCACTCTGTAGGTCTGGAAGCCCACCTTACCCTCTGTTTTGGTTACTTTGTGCTGCTCTAACAGAAAATACCACAAATGGGATGGCTTGAACAAACAGGAGTTTATTTTCTTACAGTTTTGGAGTCTAGAAGTCCAAGTTCAAAGCTGGGTGAAAGCCCCTCAACCTTAACAACCTTAACAGCTCTGCCTCCTGTTCCCAGCGTACTGAAGCTCTCTCTTCACTCAGGCAGTTGGCTGCTGAGCCTGATAAACCCAAGATCGACAAGTAAAAAGGCACAGTCCTGATATTACCAAATCACACAGCAGGCCATTGATTCAAGTCCAGAGACAGTCCGAAGATTGAAAGGAAACATGGCAGGCTGCTAAATGAAGACTCAGCTACGTGCAGGGTCAAAACATGCCATAAAACTAAAGACCTTCCTCAAAGCTGCTTCTTATACACTGGAGGCAGACCACATCCCTAAGGGAGCTACTCAGCTGCTCCAGTAGATTCCACCATGGGATTGATTGCCAATCTCACCACGTCCGGGAATAAGTACATCCAGCTGCCCAGCCACTCAACCAGGGCCAGCCAAGTTGACAACAACCTTAACTACCACATCCTCTCCTGCCAGTCTCTTCATTCTATTGCCTCTGCTGTTGCCATTTCTCTGCTTCTACTACACATTGTCTCTTGCCATCTCCAGTATTACAGCTCTCACACACTCTCTTTCCTTGGTCTAGGAAGTTCCCAGCACAGGGATCCTGGGTTCAAAGAATGTGCTCTGCTCCTGGCTCTTTCTCTGTGGTTGTGAGGTCCCCATTTCTGCCTCTTGGTTGGCTCCTTTTAAGCCTAGTGGCATGATAAAACTGATCACACCCCTCATTAGGGTTCCATATACCTTTGCATGGTCCCACCCCCATAAGGGAGCCATGCACCTTATTTACATTATTAGCAAGCTATCTAATCCCCTTGATGGGCCACAAGCACCTCATTTGCATAGTCTCACCCAGTTATTTGGTAGGAGTTACAAAGACTATGGCTAGAAGGGACATAGTATGTAATTCACTGCATGGCACACATTATTTTCAATGATGAGTTCCTTTAATAGAAATATTTAAAGTGAAAGCAAAAACAAAAACCATGGATGAAGATCTGGGTTTAAATTGTAGCTATGCTATTTATTAATTGCAATAATAATAATAATAATAATAATAAGGTAAACAATTTAGCTCTTTGCACATCAGTCAGCTAATCTGTAAGTGGTTGACTATAATGGCTACCTCCTGGAGTTATTAGGAAAATTCAATGAACTGAGGCATGCTGAATGCACAAGATAACATAGTATACTCTCAGAATATGATATTTCAAATTCCGTTCTTGTAAAACAGCACTGTCATTCTGCAGCACAATGAGCAGGGACTCTGGAGCTAGACTGCCTGGGTTGACTTCTGGCACCACCATCTTGCCAGTTATGTGATCATAGACAAGCTGCTTAAATTCTCTATGCCTCAGTTTTCTTATCTGTAAAATGGACATAATAAAACACTTTCTTCACAGGGAGATTTAGAGAACTAAATAAATTTATTTACATAAATGCTTAGAACAATACCTGACACATAGAAATGCTATATAATAGTTGTGTTTTAGTTGTACTCCATTGAATCAATTTTGACTCATAGCAACCTTGTGTGACAGAGTAGAAATGCTCTATAGTTTTCTAGGCTGTGATCTAGAAGCAGATTACCAGGTCTTTCCTCTCACGGAGCCACTGGGTGGGTTCGAACCACCAACCTTTTGGTTAGCAACTCAGCGCTTAACCATTGTGCCACCATGGCTAATATAAGTGTTAGTTAGTATTATTATTATAATGAGATACTCATGACTTCTTGTATTGACATATTTTTGAATCGTTACCTTTATAACTACAGCTGTGATCAGGAATATGCTTCTAATGTGTGAAGTGTGCATTAGTGTAAGTTTCTTACTTGAACGCCAGGGGTGGATGGAGAGAAGAGTCACCCATTTCCCAGCTCCAGGCAGTGAATGCTCTGGAAAAACCATCTTCTTTGTAACTTCTAGCTCTGTGGGCAGGTAGAAAACTAAAAACCAAACCCACAGCCATCCAGTCAGTGGATTCTGACAGGGAGACAGGAGCAAAGATATTGTACATCCTCCAGGCGCCACTTACCCTCACTAAGCCATTATTTTCATGAACACAAATATTTTTTAGTTTCATTGTAAATGTTGTTTATAGTGAAAACTGTATTACAACCACATTAAAGGGATTTTTTAAAGATGGAAAATAAATCAACTATAAGCACATTACATGATGTAAAAACGGATTTCATTTTTTTCTTTTTCCCTCTAGTTTTTGTTTCAGTACATATACTATGTATATCATTGCCAGCACCATGTACATACAAGCTGTGTTTAACATTAATTGATAGCCCTTTTCCCTGTTATGTAGTGTTCATGATTATTATTATTGATGGCTACATAGTCAAGTTGACAGACCTACTAAATTGCCTTAGTTTCCTAGTGCTGCAATAACAGAAATACCACTGGTGAATGATTTTAAAGAACAGAAATTTAGTCTCTCATAGTTTAGGAGGCATGGAATCTGCCAAAGGGGCGGTGAGGCAGCATTTTCTGACCTCCTCTAACCCTATAAGAGGAAGACAGAATCACCATCAGTAGCCCAAGACCTATTCCTGTGAAGCCAGACATGCTGCCTCCCTCCAGCCCTTTCACCAACCGTTCCTCTCACAGCACCGAACCTCTCTGCTGGGTTTGGTAATTCACTGCAGTGGCCACACAGAACTCACAGATTATGGGGTTTATTAGGGAAGCAACAGGCTACAATTCAAGTTCAGAAATGCACTCAGTCTCTTGCACCCAGTCATCTCACTCAGCAGCTGACAGTTTCAGTAGCACATTGCTCTCTCAGCAGTGTGTGTCTCTTGCATCTCTCTCTCAGCAGCATGTGTCTCTCATGTCTCTCAGGAGCACATGTCTCTCAGCAGCATGTCTTTCTCAGCCAGCAGTCAGAGAGACTCCTTCTGCCTCTAGGAGGGCTCCTTTTGAGCCTAGCAGAGTAGCCAAGCTAACCAATCCCAACCTCAGAATTCTATACACCTCAGAGAGAGAACTTCCCAGAAGATTGCTTCATGCCATTCTCAACAGAAATACCCCAGGTAGATGATTTTAACAATCAGGAGCTACTCAGTTGCTTATGGCAAATTCCACCATGGAGTTTACAAAGACCTATGGCTAGAAAAGCCACACTATGTGATTTACTACACCACAGGGTCTGAATGGAGGGCACTGGCTGTAGGGGAAGACTTTCTCTCCATCAGTTCCACAGAAAGATCTATCTCGATTTCTGTAGCTCTGGCATTCCTTGGTATCTTGGAGATCTCCATATGTCATCTATCTTCCCCCCAATCTGTGCTTGTATGTTCCTGTGTCTATGATGCTTTTTGTGTCCCTCGGAAACAATTGTCCATACTGATAGGGCCTCATTAACATAACAAAGAAAATCCTATTTCCAAATAGGATTACATTCAAAGGTTTAGGGGTTAGGATCTGTGGTAGTTAAGGTTGTGTGTCAACTTGGCTGGGCCTGGTTTTGAGTGGCTGGGCAGCTGGATGTAGTGATTCTGCATGATTAGACTGATGGTCAGCTCCATGGTGGAATCTACTGTGAGCAGCTCAGCAGTTGCCTTAGAGATGTGATCTGCTTCCAGTAATATAAGAAGACACTTTAAGGAAGGTCTTGAGCTTTTTGGCACACTTGGATCTTGCATTTAGCCAAGTCTTCATTCAGTGGCCTGCCATGTTGTCTGCCAATCTTGGGACTGTTTCTGGTCTTGAACTAATGGCCTGCTGTGTTGCTTGGTAATCTTGGGACTGTGCCATTTTACTTGTTGGCCTTGGGTTAGTCAGCCTCAGGAGCTAGCAGCTGCCTGAGTTAAGAGAAGCCTCCAGGTCCAGTGGGCCGGAAGCAAGAATCAAAGCCAAAGCCCAAGGTCAAGGGGCTTTCACCCAGCCCCTAGAGCTGGCACTTTGAACTCAGACTTCTAGCCTCCTAAACTGTAAGAGAATAAATTCCTGTTGGTTAAAGCCCTGCATTTGTGGTATTTCTGTTGTAGCAGCTCTAGAGAACCAAGACAGGATCCCAACACATATTTTGTGGGAACACAATTCAATACATAACAGCCATAATTGCTCCTTTTTTTAGAAATCAAAATGTCAATCTTTTGTCTAATATGGAGAACTCTAGATATGAATGATAGCAAAGGAAATAAGTTATAAAATAAAAGGACATAGAAGACCTACACCTCCTTATGGCAGGAGTGAAGGAAGGAAAGGAAAATTTGCCCATGAGCCATTAAATTCTAGAATCCGATTTTGCACAGACTTCTACCCCAAATTTTTATTTAATACCTCTGTTTTTAAAGAGAATTAGGAAGAATTTACATACAATGAGTACATGGAGGTTCATTTTACTATTATCTACTTTTGTCTAGGTTTCTCATTTAAAAAAAAAAACCAAAGGGGGGACGTGCCTCTATGAGTGGGGATCGACTTGATAGCAGTGGGATTGGTTTGGGTTTTTTTGGTCTATGAAGTACTAGACGAACTGGTACACCAAAAACTTTCATCAGACCTCACATTACATGACCTTTTCTGGGATAAAAAATAAGATATTTTGAACAAGATACTGGAAACAATAAATTCCCCTTGCCATTTTTGTTTCTGTTTATCAGAGGCCCGAGACTGCTACTACTAAACCCAAAGCCCTAGATTGCTACTGCCTGGATTATAACACTTCCAAGGAAATAAGGTAATGCTGTTCTTAGTGTATAAAGAGATTGATTTCATTGCATCCTGCAACTAACTCATTGCAAGAAGTGTTATTCAGATCTCTATGAAGGGTTTGAACCTGAAAAGAACCTGTTGAGAAAGGAGAAAGATTTGTAATTGCTCATGTTTTCAAAGCTGGAAGGGGTCTTACATAGTATCCGCTCCAACGTTCATCCTTAGAGAGAACAAAGGAAAGAGACCAGGGAGGTTGAGGGGCGTGACAACAGTCACAATGAGCTGAGATTAGAACCCAAGTTTCCTGATTTGTAGTCAGTTGCAGACATTCCTATTTCTATCGTGGAAGAAGGGGAAAGAGTGAAAAAGAAAGAAAGAAAGAAAAGGAGCAGGTAGTTGAACAAAAGCTCAAGACAGGTCCTTACATTAGTCAGAAAATAAAGCTTTCTAGAAAATGCCCGACTTCTAAATAAACATTGGCAGGTTTTGTAGGATTGGATTAGTGAAAATAAACCTCACTCACTGAATAGTTTCAGAAAGTACCCTCTTTGAATGCAAAATAAACAGATTAAAAAACAAACAACTTTTTATTGTGATTTGGGTGAAAGTTTACAGAGCAAATTGGTTTTCCATTCAACAATCCATGCACATTTTGTTCCATGATACAGTGTAACAGCACTCTTCCCATTTCCTTCCTATGTTTGCCATTTCCATCTGTCCTTCTTTCCTGTCCCTTCCTGCCTTCTGAGTTTTGTCCCTGGGCAAATGCTGCTCTTTTGTTCTCTATGGTTTATGGTTCTAAGGAGTGAATACCTCCCTGGTTCTAAGGATTATACACCTTATAGGCTTGTCTATCGTTTGAGCCACAGAGGTCAGTTCAGTTCCTAGCTTGAAGGGCCATAGTCTCGGAGGTTCCCCCAGTCTCTATCAGACCAGTAATCCTGGTCTTATTGTTTTGAGTTTTGTTCCACATTTTCTCTCACTCTTTCCGGAACCTCTTATTGTGATCCCTTTCAGAATGGTCAGCAGTAGTAACTGGGCACCATCTAGTTCTTCTGGTCTCAGGGTCATGGAGGCTGGGGTTTGTATGGTCCATTAGTCCTTTGGAGTAATGTTTACATGTGTCTTTGATTATCTTCACTCTTCTTTCTTCAGATAGGTAGAGACCAATAGCTGCATTTTAGATGGCTGCTCACAAGCTTTTAAAACCCCAGTCGCTACAAACCAAAGGAGAATGTAGTACATTGTCTTTGTGGACTATGTTACTCCAATTGACCTTGGTGTCTCCTGAGACTATGGTCCTAAGCTCCCAGGCCCAGTGACTCATTCCCTCAAAGTGTTTGATTTTAGCTAAAAAGGTATCATAACTTTGCCCCCTGTATGTTCTAATATACTCACAGGTAGATTTGGAAAGCATATAAATATGTATGTAGAAATACTCTATGTCAAACCTGTATTTATTCATGGATGTAGTCCCATTCAGCTTCTCCCACCTGTTCAGCTTGTGTGTCTAAAAGTCACAATGAGATGAAACTAGAACTCAAGTTTCCTGACTTGTAGTCAGTTGGAGACATTCCTGTTTGTGTCATAGAAGATGGGAAAAGAGTGGAGGGGAACAAAAAAAAAGGAGCAGGTAGTTGACACAAAAGCTCAAGAAAACCTACTGCCATCAAGTCAGTTCTGACTCATAGTGACCTCCATTGGATTTCCAAGGCTCTAAATCTTAACTGAAGTAGCTTGCCTCATCTTCCTCCTATGGAGCAGTTGGTGGGTTTGAAACGCCAACCTTCTGGTTAGCAGACAAATGCCTTACTCACTATGCCACCAGAGCTCCTTAAAAACTGAGGAGAGGCTCTTTTGTTAACCAGAAAATAAAGCTTTCTAGAAAGTTCCCCAACTTCTGCATAAACTTTCACAGGTTTTGCAGGATTAGATTAGTGGGAATATATAGCCCTCAGTGAAAAAATTCAGAACCGCACCCTCTTGCCCTTTTAAATGCGAAATAAGCAGATTTCAAAAGCATTTCCCGTCTCCACACTGAATGGTGGCCTCTTGGGGCAGTGTTAATACTATGAAGAGAGAAGTGAGGACAAGTCCCTACCCAATGTACTGCTGTCCCCATCCAGTGGGGGATCGGGATTTGTAATGTTCCCGAGTTGTGCTTTATGACAGCATGGAGAGAGTGTTGCACAAGTGGCTGATACCAATAAATGCACAAATACGGAATTTTAGAGCTCTCTCACCCCCTGTGATGCCCTGTTAATATCATTTGCTGAAATTAGCACAGATTACAAATGAGTTACTGTTGTTAGCTGCCATGGCGTCAGCCCCCGGTTCGTGGTGACACCATGCACAACAGAATGAAGCACTGTCCACTCCTGTACCATCCCCAGGATCGGGGCAGGACTGGACTTTGTGATCCATAGGGTTTTCACTGGCTGATTTTCAGAAGTAGACCACCAGGTCTTTTTTCATAGTCCGTCTTAGTCTGGAAACTCTGCTGAAACCTGCTCAGCATCATAGCAACAGTCAAGCCTCCACTGACAGGTGGTGGCAGCTGCACATGAAGTGCTTTGGCCAGGAATCAAACCTGGGTCTCTTGCATGGGTGAGAAATCTACCAACGAACCACTACCACTGCTTCATTTTAAATAAGTAGAGAGCTACTTCTAATGTCCCACTATTGTTGCCCTGTGGGCCTCAAGATACACACTTTAAGGAGATGCTCAGATAGTAGTTGGTCAAATTCACTAATTCCACTAATGTGTTCACAGGTCTGCTGTTGTAAGAATATCCAACACCAGAATCAGAGAAGAGAGCATAACCAAAGAGAAAGACTGCTTTAAAAGCCAGGAACTAGAAGAGCTTCCAGTGGCTGTTACATTTGCTGTGCTTTCCATCTTCATCATTGTGGTTTTTATCTACATAACAATGGAAAGAAAGCCACTCTTCGGTTAAATACTTAGGAGTGGAGCAGACCTGGAGAAGCAGTGAGCAGTGCCTGGCGCTGCGCCAAGCCCTCCTACTTCAGGAAAGCACCAAGGGCTACTCTGAAAGGAGAGCCCCAATGGTAGCCACATCACCTTCCTTACATGGTGCTGCCTCAAGTCTGTGCCTGGGCTCAATAGGAGGTGGAAGGAACAACTGGGACACCCGGGTGTCTGGGTCAAAGAGCACGATGGGAAATTCTCTCCGTGTCATGTCAGCCATCATTAAATGTGCTTCCCAGTTTGAGCAAACTTCCAAAAAGGAAACTTGCCTGGTGTGTGTGTATGTGTTTGCTTAACTATGGTGATAAGCTGTTGTTGTTATTACTCAAACTCAAAAACCAAGCTCACTACCATTGAGTCAATTACAATTCATAGCGACCCCCACTGGGTTTCCAAGGTTGTAAATCTTTACAGAAGCAGACTGCCCCATCTTTCTTTTGTGGAGTGGCAGGTGGGTTTGAACCACCTACCTTTTGGTTAGCAGCCAAATACCTTAACCACTACACCACAGAGCTCCTTTTATTGCTATTATTAGATGCCATCAAGTTACCTTCCAACTTGTGGTGATCTGAGTGTTACAGAGTAGAACTGTTCCCAGAGATTTTCTTGGCTGTAATTTTTACAGAAGCAATTTGCCAGACCTTTCTTCTGGGGAGCTGCTAAAACACAACACAACGCAACGCACTACGGTGGAGTCAGATCCGACTCATAGCGACCCCTCCTTGCGTTTCCGAGGTATTATCACTACGGAAGTAGATTGCCCACCCTTCCTTCCAAGGAGTGGCTGGTGGGTTTGAACTGCTAGCCTTCTGGTTAGCAGTCAAGTGCCTTAGGCATTACGCCACCAGAGCTGGGTGGGTTTGAAAAGCCAAACTTTAGGTTAGCAGCCAATTGCAAATCTCTCGTGCCACCCAGGCTAAATGAGAAGCCATAGAGCACATTTTATTCACTCTTCAAACTGTATAGCCAACTATGGGAAAGGCCACAACAGATATGATTAACAAAAGAGGAATATGTTTGGTTTAGCAAACACAAAGATATGTCCAACATCATCACTAATGAAAGGAAACAACTTAGAACAAGATAGTATTTTTGTCTTTGAAATTTGTTGTTGTTGTTATGTGCCGTCAAGTCAGACCCGACTCATAGCAACCCCTCCTTGGGTTTCTGAGGCAGTATCACTACGGAAGTAGATTGCCCCATCTTCCTTCCGAGGAGTAGCTGGTGGGTTTGAACCACCATCCTTCTGGTTAGCAGTCAAGTGCCTTAGCCACTATGCTACCAGAGCTCCCCTTTGAAATTTAGCAAGCTTTTAAAAAGTTAAGGCCTAAGGAAGACCTGTAATTGATCATGGCCTCTGGGATCAGGCAGACCTGGCTAAGCCCCCAGCTTCTCCATTTATTGCCTCTGTGACCTTGGGTGAGTTAGTCACCCCTCTCTGAGCTTCAGTTTCAACTTCTAAAAATGGAGAGAGAATAGCCCTCTTAGGGTAATGAAGAATTTGAAGAAATAATGTATATAAACCACTAGTGTCGTCCATACCTGACTTGCAGTGAGCAATAAATACTTAAGCAATGTTACTTCTGGAAGTAATGTCTTCTAGGAGGAACTAACCCTAAATAAGGAAAAATTTTAGGTATTGAGAAGTTTATCATGGCATTCACAATAAGGGAATAATTTAATAAATTGTAGTATAGTCTACTGATGGGCAATTACCATAATCATAAATGTCAACAGTGAGTTTATTGTAATATTGTTGTTAGCTGCTGTGGAGCCGACCCCTGACTCATGGTGATCTTGTGCAATGAAATGCTATCCAGTCCTGCGCCATCTCCATGATCAGCCGCAGACTGGACCATTGCTCCTTTGGAGTTTCATAAAAAAATGTTTATTTTGACATTTTTCATAACAGCTGTACTAAGACTTAATTCACACGCAATTTACCTACTCAAGGTACAAAAATTCATATTCAGAGTTATGCAATCATCACCACACTCAATTTTAGAACATTTCCATCATTCCAGAAAGAAAGAAAACACATTCCAACTCTTAGCAACCCTATAGGACAAAGTAGAACTGCTCCATAGGGTTTCTAAAGCTTTGTTTCTTTATAGAAGCAGACTGCCACATCTTTCTCCCATGGAGCAGCTGCTGGGTTTGAACCATCAATCTTTTGGTTATCAGCCAAGCCTTTAACCATTAAACCAACAGGGCTTCTTGTTAAACTACACCCACCGCTGCTGTCGAGACGATTCTGATTTATAGTGACCCTCTGGGACAGAGTAGAACTGCTCCCATACAGTTTCCAAGGTTGAAAATCTTTATGGAACAGACTGTCACATTTTTTCCCCAAAGCAGCTGGTAGACTTGAACCACTGACATTTCAGTTAGCAGCTGAGTGCTTAATCATTATGCTAGCAGGTTTCCTTGATTCAAGTAAACCAACTGTATAAAAGAATAAAAGAATACAATCAAGGAAATTCAGAATTGATTAGGTATTTGGTAATAGTAAGAGATGTTTGATGTGATTGAGTTGTAGCAGCTATTCTGTGGCCATCAGGTAAAAAACATAAGAGAAAGACTGAGAATCACAGAGATACTGGCCTGAAATCTTTGAACTGCTGGATTAGCTCTGTACTTAGGCCATCACATTAACATTTAAGGCAAGAATTCAATCTTCTCTCATTGTGATATGATATATTTCATCCAGAACTGTAAGGGAGGCTGGAAAAGTGAGTGTTTAAGCTCATGTAGCCTCCATATTAGACAGACAAGGTAGAAAGGGGATTACATATAGGGACACAGGGAGCCAATCTACAGTGATGGCCACATGTACTTAAAAAGAAAACTTCTACTGCCTCAGAAACCCAAGGAGGGGTCGCTATGAGTCGTAATCAACTCAATGGCAGTGAGTTTGATTTTTTTTTTGGGGGGTGTTTTCTATACATAAAATCAAGCATGATAAAAAAGAAAAAAAAAATTTTCAGCATGTTCAATTTTTGCAATTCAGAATCTTGGGAGTTTAAAGATACCACACAAGGTATCTAATACCCTAATCATTCAAGGTTTGGGCCCCAGACCAGCAGCATCAGCATCTCAAGCCCCACCCCAGACTTGCAGAGTCAGAAGCTGCATTTTTAAAAGTATCACAGGCACCAGGTTTGCTGGTCTGACAGTGCCTGATGGAACCACTGAGACTGGCCCCTAGCTGCCCTTCAGGTCTGGAATTGAACCCACTCCTGTGGCTTCCAGCCAAACAGAAGACAGGCATATGAGTTGAATATTTACATTAGGTAGATATACTCCTTGGAGAGATCAATCATGGGAGAATAGAAGGGCTGTGTATGCACAGGGAGACAACTCAGGGGGCAGGAATGCATGGAGGGAAGGACACAAGGAAGAGGTAACTGTGGGGAGGAAGTGGGAGGGGAGCTGTTGCATTGTGGGAAATTGTAGTCAATGTCATGAGACAAAGTGTATGTGAGCTACTGTATGGAAAGTGAATTTGCTTTGTAAATTTTTACCCAAATTACAATAAGCATTTTTTTTTTTTTAAAGAAAAGTATCTCCAGGCATTTAAAGTTTGAGAAACAAGGCTGTAGTCCATTCCCAAGAGATGCTTACATAGGAGGAATTCTGGAAATCTTAGGCTCAAGCCTAAGCCAGGCTGACCCTAAGATTCAGGCCAGAAGACCAGTGGGTGGGTCCATCAGGAGTCTGTGTGCACAGGGAACTAGTTCCCCTTTGGGAAAAACATGTCTTAAAGGAAGAGATTCAAGGCATTCAAATTTGGTCCAAGGCAATGTTTCACTGTGCATTCATTTAATAATTTATTTAGCATGTCCTGGGCACTTGCAAGGAGATGACGAACAAGATACAGTCCAGTGCTGGTCCCCAAGGAACGTACAGTCTTGTAGGAGAGAAGAAGAAGTAAGCAGACACTATAGTGCTCAGTGATATCCTTTTGATGGTGGAAGAGGGTGCCCTGGGAGCACTTCAGAGGGCAGCTTTCTCAGACATTGGGACATAGGTGGCAAAAGATGAGCAAGACTCAGTCAACAGAAGGAGGAGAAAAGCAGCATAGGAGGGAAAACTCTTCCACACCACGGGAACAATACTGACAAGCTGATCTATGAAAGTGAGCATCGCAAGTCTGGGAACCACAGACAGAGTGAAGCAGTGGTGAATGTCAAAGTAAAAAATGTCTCATACTCAGCTGGGAGTAAAATCAAGAAATTTTATTGTGGAATAGACAGCCCAAATTGGGAAGTACTGAATAGGTCTACAAAGCACTCCAGCCTTAGCGTGGAGAAGAAGGGTCTGTATACAAAAATTTCAGGAACTTGTAATCAAATTTTCTGATTAGTTGATTTTTTTTTTTTTAAATCCAACCAATCAGGCATAAGACAGTCACAAAGACCATGTTGTTGTTGTTGTTATGTTCTGTCGAGTCAGACCTGACTCATAGCGACCCCTCCTTGGGTTTCCGAGGCAATATCACTACGGAAGTAAATTGCCCAACCTTCCCTCCGAGGAGTGGCTGGTGGGTTTGAACCACCAGCCTTCTGAGTAGCAGTCAAGTGCCTTAGGCACTACGCTACCAGAGCTCCTACAAAGACCATATACTTACCCTTTTGAACATTAGCAATTTCTTATAAAAGGCTCTGGGAACAATTTAAAGAAAAACTTTGCAAAGACATTCTGTGCAGGCAAACACTTCACATATGCAAACAAAACCACATACTTCAGCCATTAACCTTCAAAATTCCTTCGGCAAAATAAGTCAAGGTTGATGTACTTAGGGGAAATAGAAACAGGGACAATATGGCGTCTGCTTTCTAACCTGTTTCAGCCATTTTACTGATGTTAAGCACCTCAGATTTCAGATTGCTCTGACAGAAGAGATGAGGCTGGAAAAGAAGGCAGATTCAGATCATGTTGGGCCTTGGGGACCACGCTACAAAATTG